TATAGGTAATCAGAATGTCATAATTAAGCTTGATTTAATAAATATGCAAGATTATATGTAATAAACAGAGGATATATGTTCTTTTCAAATACCCATCTATTTTTAAATTGGTTATGAGGCCACACATACATACACACATGTGCTAAAAACCAAAAACATACAAAACTCAGGAAGTTAACAAAAGTAGGGAATTGTACAGCCTACATTCTCTGGCAACCAGGCAGTAACACTATAAATTAAAAAAGAAAGCTCCCCCAAATCTCCCTATGCAGAAATTTAATATCACTCTTCTAAAAAGTCGACATATAAATTACTTAGCAGCAAGTCACATTGAAAACAATACATATGAAAAATCAGAAGATAACCAAAGCAATATTTGATTGAAGTATTCAAAGCATAATTAAAATTGTTTGTATAATAACTATAAGAAATGTGTGTGTTATAAGTCGGCCAAATAGAAATGAACCGAGCATTAATCTTAAAACACTAGAGGAAAACTAACAAAATCATCTGAAAGATAAAGAAGTAAGAGATTCAGAAACTTAAAAGGACTGGCATAAAGTACAATAAAGAAAGCTTGGTCAATAAAGTATGAAATGAACTTGAAAATCTAGATGGATTATATACTTTTTGCTAAAATGCAAGTTAGGAATAATAATTCTAAAATAGGTAGGACACCTGAATAATAACCAAAGAAGAAATCTGCCCCCTCCCCCTTCAAAAAACATACTGAGTTCAGATAATTTCACAGGTGAGTTGTATGAAAACATCAAGGAATAGATAATTCCTGTGTTATTTGAATGGTTTTACAGCAGAGAAACAGGTAGAATGCTAAACAGCTCATTAAAAGAGTTAGTGTAGGCCGGGCATGGTGGATCATGCATGTAATCCCAGCACTTTCGGAGGCTGAGGCGGGCGGATCACAAGGACAGGAGATTGAGGCCATCGTGGCTAACATGGTGAAACCACGTATCTACTAAAAATACAAAAAATTAGCTGGGCATGGTGGTGAGCACTTGTAGGCCCAGCTACTTGGGAGGCTGAGGCAGGAGAATGGCGTGAACCCGGGAGGTGGAGCTTGCAATGAGCCGAGATTGCACCACTGCATTCCAGCCGGGGCAACAGAGTGAGACTCTGTCCCAAAAAAAAAAAAAAAGAGTTAGTGTAACTTTGAAACTAAAATTGGATAAGGCCATCATAGAGAGAACTAAAGATGAACAACTCAAGTTTATAAATTTAAAAATCTTAAAATGTTAGGAAGTCAAATCCAACAAGATCTTTAAAAATAGAGTTTATTCTTAGAACACAAGGATGATTTAAAATCCAACTGATTATATTAATAAACTAAAGAGAAAGCCAGTGTGATCATCTTGAGAAAAATTGAAAAGCATTTAATAAGATTTAACCTGCATTTTTAACATTCTTACATCCCTGCTGGTTGTCAAACTCTGATCGACGACTGTGTCTTTGGTAGCCTACCCTATTCCGCTTTTATTACAAAGGCAGCTCTTAAGAAATAAATCCATCTCTTCAGGCTTGAACCGCAAAACACACGTGAAGAGGTGACAATGTTGGGGCTGTCAAAAAGAACTTAAAGAGTGGGATAACTGGCCGGGCGCGGCGGCTCACTCCGGTGATCAGTCCCAGCACTTTGGGAGGCTGAGGCAGACAGATCACAACATCAGGGGATCGAGACCAGCCCGGCCAACATGGTGAAACCCCATCTCTACTAAAAATACAAAAATTAGCTGGACTAGGTGGCGCGCGCCTATAGTCCCAGCTACTCAGGAGGCTGAGACAGAAGAATTGCTTGAACCCAGGAGGCGGAGGTTGCAGTGAGCTGAGATTGCACCACTGCACTCCAGCCTGGCGACAGAGCAAGACTCCGTCTCAAAAAAAAAAAAAAAAATGTGATAACCAGCAAGAACTAATATGTTGGGTTTTAATGGAAATGTTTAATCGAAGCATATTTTCAAAATTCTGATTATTACATACTAAATATTTTATAAAATAAAAATGTAATAGAATATGATAAGAATATGTTAATGACAGCAAATTAACAAGATTAGGAATTAAGTGCTATTTGCAATCAAAGTCACAAAGCTTTTCTTAATTATAAAACAATGTGTTTGCCAGATAAGCAGTCTACCAAATGCATTTTACAAGCTCCAGCTTAATCCACATACATTCAAGATTCACCTTCTCCTCCTCAGCTCTTTGATTTATTCTCCTCTATACTGACAGGGTTCTGAGAGTGGAATTCCTTATTAGTTATCATGTCCTGTTTTCACGGCAGTTCCTTGGGGGGTTATACTATGAAAGTGGGCTAGATGGATTCTCTGAGACTCCTGTTTGACCCAAGCACTTGTGGCATATAGGCTGTAGCTCCCATGAGACACGCAATGAGATAAGACTGGGTAAGAGGGAGCAGGGATGCAGCTAACCTGGTAGCTTTAACAAAAACCACATTTCTGATAGGGAAGGAGCTGTGTCCAGAGAAATCAGCTGATTTCTCAGGATCACAGTAGTGATTCCTGAGACAGGAGGCATATTATTACAGAGGAGCATAGCTGGAACCAGATGGACCAAGTTTCACATCACTATTTACCAGCTGTGTGACCTTGGGCAAATAAATCTGAATCTCAGTTTCATCATCTGTAAAATGGAGCAAATAATAACTCACCTTCTGGAGTTATTGTGACATGAGCACATGGCATGTGTGTTAATGAAGTCTGCTCTTAGGACACAGGCTGTTTTATTTTCCATTCTGCTTTAAGCTGCTTATTGGATATTGGCATGTGGGTGGTAGCCACAGGGAGGGTAGAGGCCTGCAAATGAATGTTTCCCCTGAGTGAGGCACAAGTGCCATGAAGTAGTCTTCTCTCCAACAGGAAAATTAAGTGTAGTCATGAGGTAGGTGGCAGAAGGAAGGCAGCATTAAGACTCAACCCATTTCATCTCCTCCTCCAGCACACCCTGTGCCTAGCTGTGGTAAATAGTGCTAGCATCTGTCTTCTTCCATATTCTTTCTTGCCAAGTGCCTTTCTAACCTCCTCCCACGTCTCCTTCCTCCCCAGATATTGTGCACCTTCCTGTTGTTGCTCAAGTTCCCAAAGTCCTATCTTTCTAAGACGACCTTTCTAAGACCTGTTTTTCTGAATTATTCTCTTCCTCTTTCTATATAATCAAAGCTCTAATTTGTCTCCTAGTGAACACTACAGTCTTGAAAATGGCATAAGGGTTCTAAATGACCAGGTAACCAGGTACCCCTGCTGCTCATCCAGCCTCATGTCCTGTTTCTCCTCTCACTTGCTGTGCCTCAGCCACACTGACGTTCTTACTCTTCCTGGGACACATAAGCCTGCGTCAGCAGTTCCTTCTGCTGGGATGCTCTTCTCCCAAGTATCTCCATGGCTCGTCCCCTCACTCCTCCAAGTCTTTGTTCAGCCATGAACTTCTCAGTCATGCCCATCCATTTTCACCACGTTGTAACTGCTACCCCCTTCTTCTAAGCATTCCAATTCCCTCTTACTCTGTTCTTGTTTTCCCCTCATAGCACATATCACCCTTTACTACTATATAATTTGCTTCTTTATAATGTTTGTTACTTATGTTCTGTCATCCTCCACTACCGTATCAACTAATGAGGGCAGGGACCTGTGTCTTTCCTCTTTACTGACATATCCCAAGCTGGTTCTCTGTCAATGTTTCAGTGAATTTACTAGAACTGTAAGTGTGAAGGGTCTCCTGTATTATGTCTTAAGTAGACAAGAAATAGATAAGGAAGAGGAAAGATACAGCAAGGTAGAAAATGACTAGAGCAACAGGCATGGTTTTAGAAAGAGATCCACTGCTATGATATCAAGACCTGAGTGGACTGTAATGAGGAGACCTGGATTCTTTAAGTTTACCAATGACCTTAGCCAGGTCACTTAAGCTCTGGGGCCTCAGGTTCTTTATCTACAAAATGAGGAAACTAAACTAGGTGACCTTTTGGGTCTTATCCTACTACACAATTCTCTGTTTGGGTTTTACTTTAGGAAGACCAATGAACACTTACGGAAACATTGCCTGGTACTAACTGGCATCAGTTTCACCTAATGGCTCCTGAACTCCCTGTCTCCCACCAAAGGTCCTGGGCTGTGATGATGTCTTTTAGTCTATTTCCATCTTTTCCTCAAGGGCCTTATGTTCGTATAGGTCTCTTAAAAGTGAACCCAAGAAGCTAAACTGTGGACTGGGGTTCCAGAAGCCAGGACTTTGCTCCCCCGCTGTGAAATCTGAGTAAACCCACCTTGTTTTATTTTTCCCGTCTCTAAAATTGAGATACAGCAATGGGTCAGCAGATAATATTAGGGAGAGGGGAATAAAGTGTGTTTGATGGAGCTTTGCTAGAGATAGAAACACATCAGGTGCCATTTTAGGAAATTACACAGAAATTTGACTCATTATCCATCTTGCTTAGCTGCCACATCATAATGTCACAGACTCTTAATAGAATGCCACTAAAACTCAAGAGTGCGCAGGTAGAGTTCCTCCATGTTGATTGTCATACACATTGTCTCCAGTTTCTGAAGTAGCCATGATTTGCTTGTGTTTTAAGGTACGCTGTTTTCAAAGAACAGCCTTTAAAACTCTTTGGAATTCAAAGACCTTTCAGTTAGTCAAGGAATGGGTCCAGTTTTCAGATTCTCCATGCCGTGGGTGCATCTTCCCTTCGCCTTTCTTCATTTTGGTCATTGCTCTAGATGTTCATTGTTTAACACAAGTGGGTAGGAAGACGGAGAAGAAGGGAATTTCAGGCTCATATTTTGGTGTCATGGGCAGATCTTGGGTGAGGTTTTCATTGTTAGTTAAACTAAGTTTGAAGGTTTACACTGAATTTCTTTCCCTACCCTCATCTTTGGCTGCTTAAATAGATCATCAGGACTGTCTGTTCTTCTGTTGAAAGTGCCCCACACTGCCCTGGGCATAAGCTAAATTCTTTCTCTCCCATTTAGAAGAGAAGCCAGATTGCTCCAAGGCCCGCTGTGAAGTCCAGTTCTCTCCACGTTGTCCTGAAGATTCTGTTCTGATCGAGGGTTATGCTCCTCCTGGGGAGTGCTGTCCCTTACCCAGCCGCTGCGTGTGCAACCCCGCAGGCTGTCTGCGCAAAGTCTGCCAGCCGGGAAACCTGAACATACTAGTGTCAAAAGCCTCAGGGAAGCCGGGAGAGTGCTGTGACCTCTATGAGTGCAAACCAGGTATGCACGAGCTCTGTCTCAGCAGCCTCGTTCCTTTGCATCAGAGGGTAGCAGATCCCTCCTCAGCCACCCCTGGCCTCTCCTTCCACATGAAGATGGGCCTTCTCACCGGTGTCCTCTGAATCTGCCACTTTGGGCTAATGGCAGCTTGACTTCTGGCCTTGTAGTCAGAGAACCAGAGTGATCATCCACTAGGTACATAAGCACCTTCAGGTAGTGAGCGTGTCTTTTCCTCTTTTCTTCTTTTTTTCCTTCAAAGTATGCTTGACTGGGGAGGTAGGGTTAAAATTTATGGTACTATGGCAATCTGCTTCATTTCCCCAGAGAAGGTCAGAGACCTTATTTGCAGCTATATCTGCCACTTTGAATTATTACATTTAAAAACAATCATCATACATAAAACAGAAAGTTATTTTTAGATGGATACATGCATCAAAATGCCAGAAGTTTCATAATGCAACACTCAGCCCCAATCTTTCTCTTTGCCAACTCCCCCCCACATCTGCCCTCTTTACTTTATAGCATGTGCCAAGTCATCTTTGACTGTTTACTCACCCTCTTTGCCAACATTTGATGTACTGTTGTGTCCCAGCTGTTTCTTGCTTTATATTATTTCTAACATCCTTGCTCTTGTGGCAGCATTTCCGATGTGGTCTGTGAACACTTCTGAGTTATAGTGATTTCCTCTTCGCAAGTTTCTAATCATCGGCCAGTTGTTTTTTTGTTTGGGTTTTTCTTTTTCTTTTTTTTAGACTGCTAGATAAACACTCCAAGCAAAGTGATCCCTTGTCCATCTCTTGAACTATTCTGTCAATCAGAAATGCTTCTGGCTAACTGTCACCATCCATGTAACCACTGCTGGTTTAATTCCTTCTCTGTCTTCATTGTAACTCTTAAATATCTCATCCCCACCTCTTTCCTTACACAGAAAATTTGAGGAATATTGCAGTTCTGTAACAGTAACTGGAATAATATGCCGACACTAGGACTGGGCTTCTGGAAGCAAGGAGACTTTGGAAATTTGTCAAGAGCTAGTATTTCATTTAGGGACTCCAAAAGCAGGTAAATGTAACAATAAACGGTGCCTCTCTGTTTGCCCCCTTTCAGTTTTCGGCGTGGACTGCAGGACTGTGGAATGCCCTCCTGTTCAGCAGACCGCGTGTCCCTTGGATAGCTACGAAACTCAAGTCAGACTCACCGCAGATGGTTGCTGTACTTTGCCAACAAGGTTAGTTTGCCATTAGTTTGTCAAGTTTTTTCTCCTCGTTTGTTAGCATCATCTAAGGTACATTTTGAGCATGCAGTTTGTTTTCCCATGAGAAACCTAGTCCTTTCCTGTTTCTCTGGAAGAAATCACTGAACTGTTTGCATTACTTGGTATTTACATATATCTTTCCTCAGATCAAAACCAGGTGTCATCAGGTTAAGTCATTAACCCTTATAGATTCTTTCTATAAGGGTGCCTGTACACTTTCGAGGGCTGGGACCTATATAAGCAAATATGCCCCTCTGTATGTAGATAGGGAGGCAGGCAGTGAGGTGTCTGTCAAGAGTAGGCACATCTTTTGATCCTCTGCAGTGAATCTTGTAGGTGCTTAAACAACATGTTCAGTGTGATGAAACATTGCACGCTTCATAGCACCGCTCCACAGGGACCCTTGATGTTTGGAGTCACACGGCTGCCCAGACCCATTTCTTTCTGAGGCCCAGAGGAGTCTTCATTCTTACAGTGCTGTCCGGAGTAACAAACACGTCTCTCTTTGGCTTGACTGGTGGGAGGAGCCACTGTCATTTTAACCCTAGTAGCAGGGCATGCACTTAGCCCCCTAGAACTGGTTTTTCTCTAGAACATGAGGATCTCTGGGTCCTGTCCTTTATAGTCTACAAAGCACCACCATAGAGCTGTGCCTTCGTACTTGGCTTTGGGGAAGACTGTTCTTGGAAGTGTAGGGTTTACAGTCTGTTTCCCCCGCCCCCCACTCACCCCTCTTCTCTGCCATGACCTCCCTTCCATCTTTTGCAGGTCAACAAGCCATCTTTATGACTAAGTCATCTCATGTTTTTCAGCTTTCGTTCTACATTTAATAAGATGAGTTAAAACTGTGCCCTATTTAACTCAATTTCCAACCTCTTCTTCCTCAGTCCCAGTGCCAGGCATTTAGCTTCTAGGTTTGTTGCATGAGTACTTGTGATTATGCAAATGGTTTGATAAGATAGGAGTATATGTGGTCCATAGGTAAGGTAAGTATCAGTTATTTGTCCATAATTGAAGAGACATCCAGAATTTGTTCTGATAATTACTTTTTCCTTCTTTCTTCTCATAAAATAAGTTAGATCCTTGGTATCTCCTAGCCTTTGTTCTGTCAAACCTAGGATTCTCTAAGACCTGTCCTTTATACTGTATCATAAAACAGATGCAAAGATTTTTGTGAAGATAACATACATTGGTGCAGCAACCTCCCTATGACATTAGAATGTGATAATTTATGTGCAGATGCTTAGGAAGGGTTGAAATATTTTGCAAACATAAGGTATTACTACTGATCAGTGAAGGAGATAAATGGAGCATCACTAACAGTAACAGATGTCCCTTCAGGGTCTTCCTGAAAAGGAAGATGGTACATTATATTGGAGAACCTAATTAATCAAAACTAAGCCAGTTGTTAACGAGGAAGTCCTTTAGTGAGGAAAATGGACAATTCTCAGTTCACTATTATAAATGTCACATAGCATCCTCTGCACATAGGAGTCATGGTCCGTTATTTTTTCAGTCACTCTAGGGGGTTGAAATTGGTAGAAGCTACAGGAAGGTATATTTAGTCTCAATTTAAAAAGGAACTTTCCCACAACTAGTGGTGTTCTGTAGTGAATTGGCTGCTTCCTGAGGCAGACAGAGCTCCTTGGAGCTGGATAGATTTCTTTCCGTCTGGATGGCCACCTGCCCGGAATGCTTAGAAGAATTATATTAGGTTGGAAAGGAGGTTGAACTAGATGCCTTCCGTTTTATCCTCAAGCTTCTGTGAGTCTAGTAAATAAAACTTGAAGATGATTATTACTGTATTGACATAATTTTGACTTTGGCATTCAAAAGCGAAGAATGGCCAGAGTTAAATTTGTCTGTAATCAACACATCGAAAACATAGAGAAGGAAGTCATTCAACATCCCACTGTAAATTATTTGCAGAGAAGAGATAGGTTCTCACAGCTCTTTAGTTTCCTGTATGTCAGATCATCAGTGACCCATACTCATCCCCTGCTCATTTGTTCCCTTTGAACAGGGTCTCCTCCCCCAGCTCTCTCACAAGCCCTCTGCCTTTGCAATTGCCACTACCTCTTCCTGGGCTCCCTTGCCCTTCTGTGTACATGTAGGCAGCTTCTGCCTCTCCTTCAAGACTGCATTTCTTGCTCATTGAAGTGTTGTCACTCTTTGGCCCCTGAAGATGACTTAAGTGCCCTCTCTGCTCCTTTGTCATCCATCCCCCATGTATCTTTTTATCCTAGCACTTTTCATCACACATTGAACACACTGATTTTTTTTGTCTGTCTCTCCTGTCCTGTGTGATTCTCAAAGAAAGGGAGTATTTTGTAGCCTCTTGTACCTAAACATAATATGTCAGCCCACATCTATGGGTGAATGAATGGATTAACAAACAGGCCCTCTCTTAGCCAAGATGATTTATATGTGAAAGAAAAGAAAAAGAATGAATAGTTTTAGTTTCTAGTTATCTTTCTGCCATTGGGTTGTCATACTGCTCCCTGTCTCATTTTCAAACCCTTGCACTTTTCCCCCAGTCCCCGTCTGTATGGTGCGGTCCTCCTCAATCCTGTAGAAACCCTCCATTCCAAGCACAGCACTCATCTCTCACAGCATGGGATGCCTTTCTCTCTCCATTCCATCTCTTCTCATATTCCTCATCCAGCAGGACTCTAATTAAATTTTTCTCTGTCCACGAAGTATTCATGCTTCAACCAACACGTGTCCCACTGCCTAGAAACTTCCCACATATCCTTTCCTATACTGTCAATTAATTATCGACTTTCATACATTGTTATTGAATTGTCACATGCGTGAAGTCTTGTCTCATCAGCTATATGATGTTCCTAAAGGTCAGGAATTGTGTCATCTTTTCTTTTCTTCTGTATGCATTAGTGCTGAATGAGTCGGTAAATGCAGAATATACTCAAGCTGTGGCTTAGACCCATTCAGCCTAGTTTAGCATATTCAGTGGATTCCTGCGGAGGGTGATGGGGTGATAGGTTGTACATCGATTAGAGAATAACAACCCAAATAATCACATGAAAATGAAAAACAAAAGCCTAACATGTAGTCATAGTGGTAGTATTTTAAGAGAAAAACTACATAACTTTATTCTTGTGTGTGAGCCATGTTAAATGTCTGCTCTTTAAGAGCACGATTTTTAGGCATGAAGAAGAGCATTATAGAACATAGAAGATCATATTATGATTATTTGACTTTTACCAGCATACTTTTAGAGCATTGTTAAGAAGTTAGAGCCATTTGAGAGCAAAGCTGATTATGTGGAGAAATCAGGGGAGAAAGCCCTTTACATTTTAGGACATAATAAGGTAAAATATCTGAAACTTTAGCTGTAAAGAATTACCTTCAGTGAAAGTAACAACTCCCTTTTTGTAAGAATTTATTGTACTTTCACGGGCTAGAAAGTGTGTTTATGGACTTTTCTCCCCTGTCTTGAAGAATACATTCCTCCCTCCTTCATTCCCATCCAAATGGAGTTGCCCTTCCCTATGAGACTATTTCACCCATTCCGACCCTAACTGCCCCATTTCTGTGTGAGCTTGATTTGTTAGTTTTCTCTTGAATTGTATGTTTTCAGTTGATTCATTCATCCATTCATTAAACACGAATTGAGTTCTTACAAGTGACAGACACTACTCTCTAGATGTTCTTACCGTACATGGGTATCACTTTCCACTTCTATCCCTGACAAATACTGGTTTTCCCTTCTACCTCTGGCCTTTGTGAGTGTAGGCTGTTCCTTATTTCCTTGCTGCCTTTCTGTCTTAACAGTCCGTCTTTCATTTTCACCTCTTTTGTGTCTTTTCTCTTGAACGTCATCCTGTTTAAACATCATTCTTGTGTGTGATATAATTAATTTTCAACCATTATTTAGTTCTTCCTTCCCTCAACTTGGCTTAGATTTCTAGGCATCCCGCCGTTTCTTTTTATCCTTTTTTCTTCTGTTGGCATGAAGATATGATATGAGTTATATGGCAATGCATTCTACCTTTCAGGAGAGGGTGGGCCTAAACACCACACAATGACATAAAGGGAAAATGGGACTATCTGTGGAATTTAGGACACCTTGTGGTCCTTGAAAGTCCCTTTGTGAGTGTCTGCGTGTGTGTGCATGTACAGATGCTGCCGCGCATAAGAGAATTTACAACAGAAACTTACAAGTCAGATACATTAATGCAAATTATTTATTTGCAGGGAAGAAAAAACCAAGATAGTCTTTAAGTGACATATAGATAACAATACCAGTCACAGCTTAAATGTGTAATATGCCTTGCTGTTTATAAAGCATTTTCACTATTCATATCTTACTGTCACTTTAATTCTATGAGGAATTTATAGGTATAAGAATGGAGATTGAGATAATAAGAGACTTGCAGAAAATCACAAATTTTCCTTGGTACAAGAGACAGAGCAGGTTCAAGGCTTCAATCCAGGATTTTTTATTGAAAACCCTATGCTCTTTGCACTGGAGCTTTTTCGATAACAATGTTTTGTTGTTTTTAAGTCCAAGAAATATATCGGGGAATATGAATTTATATCTCACCAGCACATTTCTATCTGCCTACCACATACGTGTTTCAGTTATTCATTGCTGTGTAATAGTCACCCCGAAAGAAGTAGCTGAAAATGACAAAGATTTATTCTTTGTCCTGATTCTGTGTGTTGACTGAGCAGTTCTTCTGTAGCCAGCTGGCAGGTTGACTGAGACTGAATGTCCCTCCCATGTTTGGAAACTCAGCTGGGATGGCTGGAAAGACCCCTCTCCCTACATGATGTCAGAAGCAGGAGAGAGGGCCGGGCGCGGTGGCTCAAGCCTGTAATCCCAGCACTTTGGGAGGCCGAGACGGGCGGATCACGAGGTCAGGAGATCGAGACCATCCCGGCTAACACGGTGAAACCCCGTCTCTACTAAAAAATACAAAAAACTAGCCGGGCGCGGTGGCGGGCGC